ATAATTTTATTTATTTATTTATTTTTCCCCCAAAGCCCCAGTAGATAGTTGTATGTCATAGCTGCCCATCCTTCTAGTTGCTGTATGTGGGACGTGGCCTCAGCATGGCCGGAGAAGTGGTGCGTTGGTGCACACCCAGGATCCGAACCTGGGCCGCCAGCAGTAGAGTGCGCGCACTTAACCGCTAAGCCACGGGGCCGGCCCTCTTAGTGTAGTTTTGATTTGCATTTCCCTGATGATCAGTGATGTTGAACATCTTTTTATGTGCCTATTGGCCATCTGTATATCTTCCTTCGAAAAATGTCTTGAACTTTATGGATTTTTAACTTGCTGTGTTCCTATCCTCCTCTCCACAGTAGCCTTGAAAACCTACAACCTCACAATCATGGTAACTGTGAAAACCAGGGGCCTGACAGCCACCAGACGAAACTTAATGGCTTTGAAGCTTTCCCCCAAAGCCCCATCCCTAGAGGCTTGTCACTCTTTGACCTGTATGGCAGCTCCCTGCAAAGCTCCATTCTCAGGACTTGTCTGTATGTGACTTGACTTAGAGCTTGCTCTGTGTGAAAAGTTTTATCCCTAGGGCCTTTATTGAAAACCATCAGTGACAGTTGTTCAACATCGCAGCTGCCTGAGGTGGTGATACCAGTTAGGGCTAATAAGAGATCGACCAAAAAACTTAAAAGGAGGGGCCAGCCCAGTGGCGTAGCGGTTAAGTTTGCACGCTGTGCTTTGGCAGCCCAGGGTTTCAGGTTTGGATTGGGCACGGACCTATGCACCGCTCATCAAGCCATGCTGTGGCAGCATCCCATATAAAGTAGAGGAAGATGGGCACGGATGTTAGCCCAGGGCCAGTCTTCCTCAGCAAAAAAGAGGAAGATTGGCAACAGATGTTAGCTCAGGGTTAATCTTCTTCACACACACACACAAAAAAACTTAAAAGGAACAATTGGGCAGTGAGATCTTAATAGGGGGCTTTGAAAAGCTCCAACATATTCCTGGGAATCTAGAAGGCCACAAGCATATGCAAGGCTATGCATCTGTACAGGAAAGACCTTAGAAGTCCCTAACCCCTCACCTCTGGCTGACCTTGATGTTCTGCACAAGCAGGAAGTAAATGTTAAGGCAGACAAAAGAAAAAAATGATTAATTGGAATTTATCAAAAGTAAAAACTTTTGTGCTTCAAAGAATACCAGCAACAAAGTGAAAAGACAGCAGAATGGGAGAAAATATTTGTAAATCATGTATCTGACAAAGGACTTATATCCAGAATATGTAAAAAACTTTAACAACTGAACAATAAATGGCCAAATAACCCAGTTTAAAAATAGACAAAGGATCTGAGTAGATGTTGCTCCAAAGAAGACATGCAAGGGCCAATAAGGAGATGAAAGATGCTGGACATCATTAGTCATTAGGGAAATTAAACCGCTTCACACCCACTAGGGTGGCTATAGTGAAAAAGACGGACAATAACAATTGTTGGCAGGGGTGTGGAGAAATTTGCATCATCATAGCGTTGCTAGTGAGAATGAACAATGGTGCAGCCAGTTTACAAAACAGTTTGGCAGTTCCTCAAAACGTTAAACATTAGAATTACCATCTGATCCTTTCATTCTTAGGTGTGTACTTAAGAGAACTGAAAACATAAAAAATGTGTACACAAATCTTCAGAGCAGCCTTTATTCATGATAGCCAAAAAGTGGAAATACCCCAAATGTCTGTCAGTTGAGGAACAGATAAACAAAATATGGGATATCCATACAAGTCAGCCATAAAAAAGAATGAAGTACTGATACATACTACATCATAGAAGAACCTTGAAAACATCATGCTAAGTGAAAGAAGCCCAATGCAAAAGGCCGTATATTGTTTGATTCCGTTTATATGAAGTTTCCTCAGTGGGAAACTCCGTAGAGACTGAAAGTAGATTAGTGGTTTCCAGGGGCTGGACGGAAGGGGGAGTGGGGAGTGACTGCTAATGGGCAGGGGGTTTCTTGTTAGGGTGGTAAAAATATTCTGGAATTAGAAAGTGGTGCTAATTGCACAACCCAGTGAATATACTAAAGACCACTCAATTGTACACTTAAAAGGGTGAAGTTTATGGTATATGAATTATATCTCAATGAAGCTGCCATTAGAAAACAAAAAACCCCTACAGCATGCCATTTAAATGGATCACCTGGTATTGGAAAATAAAATTAAAGTTTTCTTGCTTAGCTGGCTGGTCTGTAGTGTTTACAGTTGTTTTTTAATGAACTGTCAGAAGACTGGAATTTTGTTTGTAGCCAGAGGTGCATTACTATTTTTCAGTTATACAAAGGTTAGTCAAGGCTACATATAAGAAAAATTTCCTTAGAATTAGCCAAATTGAGATTTATGTCAGTATGTTTGTAGAAAGTTTTACTTCATTTTCAATGTTGAATTATAATACTTTTAACCATTCTTTGGATGATAAAATCCTCTTCTTTTTCAGTGCTTCATCTTCAGTTATTCTTGGTGGTGAACTATAAGATACCGCTTTTCTGTGCACTCTATGGATTTAAGTAGTTGGATTAAAAATGAACTAGGCTTGTTATAAAGTTTTACTCTTTTTTACGACTGAATTTTGATCTTACGAGCTGAATTCAGAGCTTAGTAGCTGTAAAATCTTATTGAATGATTTTTATGCTTTAATCAAATTGAATATATTTTGGTGTTAGCAAGATCCTATTTTCTATCTTTTATGGCTTTTCTTCTCGTATCAGTGTAGTCTGTTTTAACCCACTGTATTCTTAGCTTGCAGAACACAGAGAAGGTCGGCACGCCTACAGCCTAGAGTCTCTTTGCCACTGTCCTTTTTATGAAGAAGCCATGCATTTAGTCGAAGAAGGAAAAATTTACTCAAGAGTGCTTAGGTACCGTTCAGTTTTGCTTATGTTTATGAAAAATATTAAGGTGCAGTTGCTATGCTTGTATGATATTTATTAAAAATGTTTATGAGAATAGGGGGAAATGTGTTTTTAGGCTCAAAAATAATTTTTTTTACATGTTTTGTCAGTATTGAAAAGACATGTGTTTTGTATTAATGTCCTGAGGTTCAGCCCTGTTTGAGTCTGGAGTTGTAGTCGGCTTGACCTTGAATGCAGTTTAACAGTTGTCTCCCTGTTTATTACGTAGAACTGAGATGTTGGAGTGCCTAGGAGACAGTGATTTTCTTGCCAAACTTCACTGTATTCGACAGGCTTTTCAGGTATTTTTTTTTAACATTAAGTGACTTCACCCAGCCACTCACCCCCACCCTCATGCTGTAGAGTCCAGCTGCGTATAAACAGGACAGCTCTTTGCTCTTTATTATCCTTGTTCCTAATGGCAAATATCAACTCTACTGAGTTTATTCTTCCTGCCTGCTGTTTCCCCTCATTTTTCTTCATTTATCATTGTCCTCTCCCATAGCTTCCCAGGCCCACCATACTTTGTCAAAACAGGATATTTTGATGCTGGAGATGTATACAAATGGTTGCTTAAAATAAAAATCCTCTTCTTATTATGTGTGTTCTAGATTGTTTTTTATTTGAATCACTTGTAAAATCATTGCTTTCCTAAAATGAAATAAGGTCATTTAACAACAAAATTATCTTTATTTTCCCATGTTTTGGGGCTATGTAATATTTATTTTGGACTTTCTAATATTGAACAGAATTTAAATTCAGATTTATCTCCCTTTAATCTTTTTTGATTATAAGTTTTAAGAACTCTTTATTTTAGTAAATTAGGACTTTCTCTGTGCTCTGCCTGCTGAAGTAGTGCCACATACAAGGCATTGACAGGATCAGGGGTATTTGTGCACAGATGTGCTATCAAGTCAAATGTCCATTCAAATTAATTATTGGTCCCTTTTTTCTTTGTTTGGGGATGGGTATTTTTTCAGGTAATTCTTTCAGAAACTGCCAACAGGATATTTCTTGCTGAGAGTGGAAGGAAAATTTTATCAGCATTAATTGTGAAAGCTCGAAAGGTAAACTTGTTTTATTGGCAAGTTTTTTGTTGTTGTTTTAGATGAACTGAAGGTTAAAATACATTAAATTTTTAATAAAAGAAAAAGTTTTTGTAGATAGTTGCAAAAGTTCACATATTAAAAACAAATAACCCAAAGAGCATTGATTTAACTTGGGTTGATTTATTTTCTATGTATACAGTCCACACTATTTTGATCAAATTGTTTCTCATAATTTATTCCCAATTTGCCATAAAGTCTGTGAATGTCATGGTGAGAATCATGATTAGATCTGCTACTACAACCACCACTGTTATTATTTCTAATACCTCTTCTCTCACCTCCCTCAATCCTATTTGGTAAGAAGGTTTCAGGAAATAGTATAGATGTCAGAAATCTGGAAATACAAATTGAGCTGCTGCTTCCTCATCTTCTGAATGAGGCAGAAGCAATGACAAGAACTTCAGTAAGACTGTAAGGATCCACTTTCCTCTATGCCACGTTGTCCAGATGATGAGAAAAAACAAAATAAAACAGGCCTTCCCTGAGCCATTTGAACACCTGGTTTTCAGACCCAATCCCTTTGAACCTCAATTCCTTCATTTGTGTAACAGAATTACAGTCATGTGCTGCATGATAATGTTTTGATCAACGATGGACTGCATATATGATGGAGGTCCCATAAAATTATGGGACCATAATCTACACCATATAGGCTAGGTTTGTAGTAGGCTATACTATCCAGGTTTGTATAAGTACACTCTGATGTTCCCACAATGACAAAATCGCCTAATGATGCATTTCTCAGAACGTATCCCTATTAAGTGATGCATGACTGTATGTTTATGGTACCCTATTTCAAAGAGTTCTTATGATAAATAAATGATAAGAAAACTAATTTTTTTAAAAGTGAAAAATAAATGTAAGGTGATATTAACTACTTGCAATTCCCAAGGTAAATCTTATATTGCTGTCTTGGCCTTCCCATGGCAGATAAACCCAGTGATTTGAACTAGAGTTCATCCAGAAGGAGTAGCATTGCATCAGAAGCATCACATAGTATCTGCTCTAACCAAGTTTTCATCTTAAGGACTGACCTAAATAGGCAAACAAATCTGAGTAGTAAAAGGTTTGCTTATGACATTTTACTGATGTTCTTTTTTTTTTTTTTGGTGAGGAAGATCAGCCCTGAGCTAACGTCCGTGCTAATCCTCCTCTTTTTGCTGAGGAAGACCGGCTCTGAGCTAACATCTATTGCCAATCCTCCTCCTTTTTTTCCCCCCCAAAGCCCCAGTAGATAGTTGTATGTCACAGTTGCACATCCCTCTAGTTGCTGTATGTGGGACGCGGCCTCAGCATGGCCGGAGAAGTGGTGCGTCGGTGCGCGCCCGGGATCCGAACCCAGGTCGCCAGTAGCGGAGTGCGCACACTTAACCGCTAAGCCACGAGCCCAGCCCTTACTAATGTTCTTAGTCTTGGCTTCTGCAAAATGTTGGAACAGCAAAGTATTAAACCAAATGAATATGGCATACCTTGAAAATGTATTTTAATTCAGTTATCTAATAGAGTGAAGATCTAACAAACTTTCTTGAAGAGTGTTTCACTTACTTTGTAGGCTTGAGTCTTGTTATAAAGTTGAGTTTATTTATTTTTTTTAAAGATTTTATTTATTTCTTTTTTCCCCCAAAGCCCCAGTAGATAGTTGTATGTCATAGCTGCACATCCTTCTAGTTGCTGTATGTGGGACGCGGCCTCAGCATGGCCAGAGAAGCGGTGTGTCGGTGTGCGCCCGGGATCCGAACCCGGGCCTCCAGCAGCGGAGTGCGCGCACTTAACCGCTAAGCCACGGGGCCGGCCCTAAAGTTGAGTTTAGAATTAAAGTGTGTTTTCTTTTGCAGAATCCAAAGAAGTTTGAAGATGTTTTTGATGAAATGATCTATTTTTTAGAGCAGACTGATCACTGGGATAGTACTGAAATGGAACTTGCTGCTAAAGGAGTAAGTTCAAATTTTTATAATGTTTATTTCCCTTAATTATTTACCATAATATTTACATAATTTGAGAACACTGTGTCCATGTCCTTGTTAAATGACAGTAAACCCAATTGTGTGGTGGTGGTAGTTATGACAGAGTCATAAACAATAGCAACCACAGTCTTTATGCATTAGAGCAACAGTTGAAAATCATTGTTTTTTAAAAAGCCTTTCCTTCTTCCCTTCCTCCCTCCCTTCCTTCCATGAGCAAAGCCCTAGCAGGGCAGTAATGGTGGCCTGGGCAAGGGCGGTTTTGTATGGGACAACGGGCAACTCATTGGGGCCAACGGATTGGCTGCCTTCACAGGATTGAACAAGTAATTAAATATATTGAGAATTATCAGAGCTAGGTTTCTCACTGTCAGAGAAGGGAGGTATAAAAAGCTAGGCTTGGAACTGGAGCTGACAGTATAAAGTCATAGTTTACGATATATAGACATAGAAATAAATATAAAAGTTTGCATATACATAAACATACATATGCTTCCTAGCTCTGTTCACTCAGAGGGTCTGCGAGCAACAAGACCTCAAAAGAAATTACTCCTAGCAACAGATCTTGGCTTCTAAGGACCACTCTTCACTAAAAGGAACTGGGACTCCTTGGAAAAATGGCTGATTTCAGCACTGGGATAGGGAAAGTACATGATGAGCCTGGAACAATTTTGTAGTAAGAGAAGGTTAAAGAAGGTGTTTGCAAGGGGCTGAAAGGCTTTCTAGGCAGAGAAAACAGTAGGTACAGAGACATCGAGGCATAATCTTTCCTTCTCTCATGTTCCCTCACTCTGTGAAGGAACCAGCATCCATTCAGTTGTGCAGACCGGAAACCTGGACTCATCCTTTGCACCTCCCTGGTCCTCGCCCACTTTATCATATTCATCTCTAAGTTTTGTCAATTTTAACTCCTAAATATCTTTCAGTTTCTTCAACTTTCCTCTCTTTCTGCCAGCCCCTCATGGTCTGAGTAACTATCCTCATTCCCTGGACTACCTCAGGGTCTTTGCATTCCCTGGTTCCTTGCCTGCTCCTCCCCTCCCACATTCACTCTTTCTCCTCTCCATTCCACTCTCCACATTGTTGCCAAAATGGTCTTTTTTTTTTTTAATTAATTAATTAATTAATTTTTTTTTGTGAGGAAGATCAGCCCTGAGCTAACATCCATGCTAATCCTCCTCTTTTTGCTGAGGAAGACTGGCTCTGAGCTAACATCTATTGCCAATCCTCCTCCCTTGTTTTCCCCAAAGCCCCAGTAGATAGTTGTATGTCATAGTTGCACATCCTTCTAGTTGCTGTATGTGGGACACGGCCTCAGCATGGCCGGAGAAGCGGTGCGTCAGTGCGCGCCCGGGATCTGAACCCAGGCCGCCAGTAGTGGAGCATGTGCACTTAACTGCCAAGCCACGGGGCTGGCCCCAAAATGGTCTTTAAAAAATACAAATCTGATCATCCATCTCCCCTCCACCACTACCCCCGCAAAATACCGTGCGGATAAAGTCCAAAATCATTAACATGGGCCATGAACTCTGCAGGAGCTGGCCCTTCCTCCTTGTCTCCAGCCACGTGCCCGTGTCTCTGCCCTAGAGAGCTACAGCACACTTGCAGTGGTTTGCTTTGACTTGACACCACTGTGCTCCTTCTTGCCTTAACAACTTGACAGGTATTTCCTGTATCTTGACAAGAATGCCTCCCTCCCTGAAGAAAGCCCTCTCTGACATCTAGTCTAGGTTAGAATCTCCATCGTAAGCTCTCCCAGTACCATTTACCGGGCTTATCACAGTTTGTGCATGTGTATTTGTGGGATTATTTGTTGTCTGTTTTCCCCGCTGAACTCTAAGCATCTAGTTGACTTACTGTAGAAGTCTGAGCACCTGTTCAGAACGTGTTACAACACAGTCTACGTGAATGGATGAAGGAGCAAGAGGTTCATGATGTGGGGAAGACAGGCGGGTGTACCAGGTGCCAGGTGGCGCAGCAGAGTGAGCACTGCGGATGCCTTGACAAAAGCCTGAGCTGAGGACTCCTGGGACAGAGAGGAGGGAGATGGGTCTCAGCTGAGGGGACCGAGGAGGGAACAGCTCTTATGGGAATTGTAATTTTGGGGAGTGAGTTGTTTTCATATTTGTCTCTCCCCTTCCTCTTTTTCTGTCAGAGAGAGAATCTGATTCAACTGGAAACACGCTGTTGATGTAAGCAGTGACGCCCTGGCTCAGGGTTCATCTCAGCTCTATGTAATAATGATTCTGTTTTAACTCATAATTTAATGCAGGTGAAAAATCTAAATTTTTATGATGTGGTTCTGGATTTTATATTAATGGATTCCTTTGAAGATTTAGAAAACCCACCCACATCCATTCAGAATGTAGTAAATAATCGCTGGCTAAACTCCTCCTTCAAAGAAACCGTAAGTGGTGATTTACATTTCTCAACCACGTAAATTTGGTGAAGGTGGTCAGACCAGGGAAGATGAGTCAGATGTACCACATATCTGCCTGTAGGATGGCTGGTGTAGAAGCCAAACTCTGCCTTGGCGCTGGGACCGGATGTCTGTGTGTGATGGTCTACAGCCTCTGCAGAGGAGAATCCCCTTTCGGCCCTTCCATCAGTCCAGCCTTGACCTGGAGGGCCCCATGTTTCTTCAGATCGCAAAAACACCTCAGGCTTCTGTCTGGTTCAGGCCTAACAAAAAATTGTCAGTAACTGAAATAAAGCAGTTGCAGTAAAAGATAACATATATTTTTTAGAGGAAAGTATGGAGATTCATGTTTCCAAATAGTATCCAAAGTTAGAGGATAAAAAATAGGCATGTGCAAAAATAAACTGTATTGTATACTTGGAATGTTTTCACTTTGTTGTTTTTACACTCAAATCTCTATTTGACAGTGTTTTTTTGGTGGGCTTTATGTGTGTACCTGGAAGCAGGTGGGATAGATACTCATGATGGAGTTTGAATGCCTTTAAAAAAATGTTCCAATTGGCTACTTCACAATTATTTTGGAAATTCCCGATGTTAAAATTTTTTTTTAATTTTTTTAAAAATTTTATTTATTTATTTTTTCCCCCAAAGCCCCAGCAGATAGTTGTAGGTCATAGCTGCACATCCTTCTAGTTGCTGTACGTGGGACGTGGCCTCAGCATGGCTGGAGAAGCCGTGCATTGGTGCGCGCCCAGGATCGAACCCGGGCCGCCAGCAGCAGAGCGCGCACTTAACCGCTAAGCCACGGGGCCGGTCCCCGATGTTAAATTTTAAAACATTTTTAATAAATCTGCTTTCCCTCAAAGTATGTTTTAATCATAAAAGGTACATGTTCTCCATTTCTGTAACTGATTTGGTAAAGTGACCTTGATCAAAATTGGGTCATGCCAGAGTAGGGTCAGATTTCTTCAGGGTCCACCCTATCATTATGATTGTGTTTCTTAGTTCTTTATTTGAATAAAATGGTTAGTTCTACCCACAACTATTTCCAGCAGTACTGTTCTTGAAGAAAAACATATTGCTTTGTCTTCATTATTACACATAAAACATTTATCGTATGTGTGCATCTAGGTATGTGTATTTTCACTCTTTTCCTGTAGGAACAGAATTTAAGAACTCTAAGAGTTGAATTATAATTACCGAGTTCCTTGGTACCAGAGTTGAGCCTTTGTCCTTTAGTGGTTTTGTCTTTAATTTTAAAATTCATAAAAACAAAACATCTTTTCATTCATATTTACAAACAGTTGAAGGAACCTTCAACTGTTTGAAGGAGTTGTTCTTATTGGTAGTTAACGTTTTGAACATTTTAGACCCATAAACTTTGAATTTCTAATAAAAATCACTTTTTTCTAAACGGAAAGTGTATATAGTTATAAATTTAAATCTTGCTTTTTCTCCTCTGCATATATTTAGGCTGTGGCTTCAAGTTGTTGGTCGGTGCTGAAACAGAAAAGGCAGCAGATGAAGGTAAATTGTGCCTTGGACTTCTTTGTTAAGTTATTTGAGGCTCCCGTCAAAGAAACATCTGAGTCAGTTCTCAAGTGGGGGTGGCAGCTCGTAAGGACTGTCCCTCAAGCTAGATGAGTGACTTACTGGTACTGGGTTGCCTTCTCCTTTTTGAACTTCTCCCTCTTCCTTAACATCCTGTATAGTCCAACATGGCAAGTGTTGAGGCACGCATGGATTTCTACTAAGCGGGAGAGCGTGTAGGGTTGGAAATAGCTCTGATAGAGTTGTTCTTTTTCAATTAATGATATTTTAAGATTTAAAAAAAATTAATATAGTAGATTCCACTTCATGTAGTTCCATTGAGAAATAGTGATTTGATTCTAATGGCTACTTTATTCAACCGAGAGCCCCTACCAAAGAAAGCCTCAAACTTTAAATCCTGCCTCCATGCTGCACAGCCTCCAGCCCACCTCACCCACTACCCATGCTCTCACCATGCCCTCCTGTGGTGAAGGGCATGGGCTTGGGAGTGAGACTGCTGGCTTTCAAATGCCACTTATCAGCCATGACCTCGGGCAAGTTGCTTAACTTCTCTGTGCCTTACATTCCTCATCTCTAAAAAAGCACCTTGTATCTGCCTCATGGGGTTTTTTGAGGATTGAATGTAATAAAGTGGTTAGATCAGTGCTTGCTATAGTGCATTATGCAAGTGTTGATTGTTATTATATTATCATTTGCCCATCAACCTATAGTATTTTATCATATCCATATTTCTCAGTCTGATCTTTATAACTTTGAGATAGTATTGCGAAGTGCTTTTTTCCCAAACATAGCCCTCATAGCATCTTCAGGAGGTGCTTGTTAAAAATATTCCGGAGACCATATATTTGAATAATTCTTGTTTAAAATGATTCCAGAGCTGCTGTGTTTTAAACAAGCTCCCCAAATGATGATTATGACTCGAATGTTTGAGACCCACTGGTGTAGGGCTGGCGACACTTGTCAACTCGGGTTTGATTCTCACACCAGCTAGTGTGAGCATGGCCAACTCACTGACCATCAGCTGACCTTCCGTTTCCTGTTTGCGGAATTGACTTGACACCTTCCTCATAAGGCTGCTGTCAGGATGAAATGAGATGATATCAACAACCTTAATTTAAATATAAGAAAGTTTAATAAGGAGTAGTTTCCATAATAATGATAATGTCAACATTATTATCATTATGTCAACTTTATGTCTATCTTCTTAGCATAAATCTTGTGCCTTAGACTGTAGTCTTCTTTCTGTGTCCACAGATACCTATATATCTCACCTCTTGGGGAACTGTTGCCTGTACATAGAATGCCACACTCTATCCTCTGTACTTAACTAAATCTTACCTACTGTTGAGTTCAGCTCAAATGGTTCCTTAGTGACACAGGTGTCTCTACTCCAGCCCACGCTGACTTCTTACCTCTCTGAACTCCTAGGACAGTTAGAGTCTGCGTGAGATTGAGAATTTCAGTATATGCAGATCATCTCTTAGACTACAGTACTAACCTCAGTGCATCCCGGATAACTCTGTGGCCTTCAACAACCAGCTGTGTGTGATTTAGATCAGCTTATTTAACCCCTCTGAAGTGCTACTCTTTTAACACAACCTACTTTTTCAGGAATGTTTTATTAAATTAAATAGAACCTAGCACATGATCTGGAATATAATGGATACTCACTAATGGTAACTACTGCTATAATATATTTTTTTAATTGAGGTTTAGAAGATGTCTTAGGACCTATAAAACAGAAAATAACCCCTCCAAGAGACAGAATCTTAAGGCATAGTTATCCCAGTTGATGCTATATGAAATCCCACAGGATGTTATTTAACAAGGGAAATTCAGAAAGTTATTAATAAACTTAGAGAGTTTAATGAAACCAAATCACAACTGTATGTATTACTATTTCACAAAAAGAGGCAATTTACACAATTAAATGTTTCAGTAATATTTGGTTCCTTAACTAAAAGTTAGGATTCTAGTAAATATATATATATTTTTTTATAATTTTTATTTATTTATTTTTCTCCCCCAAAGCCCCAGTAGATAGTTGTATATCATAGCTGCACATACTTCTAGTTTCTGTTATGTGGGACACGGCCTCAGCATGGCCAGAGAAGCGGTGCGTCGGTGCGCGCCCGGGATCCGAACCCGGGCCGCCAGCAGCGGAGCACGCGCACCCAACCGCTAAGCCACGGGGCCGGCCCTCTAGTAAATATATTTTTGTGCTTAATCATTTATAATCATTTTAATCTTTTTCAGATAATCTAATTAAGTGATTGAGTAGAACTTTTTAATAGCTGAAACCATGGTAGTCTCATTAATCCTAAAAATTATACTGCTAAGGAACACTGCAGCATTCTTATTATTGTTTGGTTGCAACACTGCTTTGATTGGTTTTTTATGAGATGAAAAATGCATTTAAGTAATGTTTTCAGCACATTTGAAACTATTGGCTAGGATAGAAAATCTACATAAAACATTTTGTGACTCTAAAAGTTGCTTGTAAGTTTATTAACTTTCTTACTAGGCTGGCTCATCATTGACCCTTGGTTCACCCTCGAAAAGAGCTGGTCACATGGTGGACAGCAGTCACAGCTTCTCTGCTAGAGAAAGCAAATGCAAGAAGGTAAAAAATAACTCGATTCTCCTTTACTTCCCAACAGATCCCAGACGGATTTTTTGCCCATTTTTATGCCATTTGTGAGCATGTCAGCCCTGTCCTCGCCTGGGGCTTTCTGGGTCCTAGAAATTCTCTCTATGATTTATGTTGCTTCTTTAAGGTATGTTCAGTCATTGAATCATTTCTTTTTTCTAAATCAAAGAGTGAATAAGGTTTTATTCTGTTTTGTTTTTGCTTTTGTAGAAGAAAGAATGTTATTTAAAGGTAAAGTTATAAAAGTCACCTAAATTTAGTGTTTAAATGCCAGTGAAACAGTATTATATGGATTTGGTGCTTTATCCTGGATAGATTCAACAGGTACATTCACCTGTCAACCCCTTGTGTAATGGATGCATGTTCTTGTGTGTTGTTACAGTGTCCCAATCAAATTGCTGTAGACGTTTTGTTCTTCATGCCTGGACACTTTTGAAATTTATAAAAGCAAATGATATCTGTCTTTATTGCACATGTGGCAATTTAGAAATAGTTCTGGTTCAAGGTAATATGAAGGGTAAAATCCCAGTTGTGGGAGTTTAAAATTGTATTCTAATGTCAGTGGTTTAAATTTGCCCAAACACAAATTACAGCTCGTCACAGAATTTTCTGCCTGGCACAGAGCCAAGAAAATTCTCACTATTTAACATCTTGCATTTTGGCTGAGTTTCAAGAAGCAAATAAAAGTAAACATAATCAAGTATGAATTTGAAAGTTTTTGATGTTTGAAAGTTTGGATGTTTCACTATACCCTTCATTAAAACATTACTATGTTTGTGTGCTGTTAATGTAGCATTTATGTAAATGGTTTAGGAAATGTTTATTTTACTGTCATTCAAAACTCATTAATTTTTGACTAGTTTACTTGACCTCCCAAATGTAAGGTATGTGTTTAGTGGGAAAAATTTGGACTGGGAATTAAGAGCTGTCTGACTCTGGGCAAATCATGCTTTGTCCTTGTTTTCCTCATCTATAAAATGAGCATGACAGGTTAATTGCCAATGACCCTTCCGGATATAAAATCCGGTAAATCTATGAAGTGTGCTTTCTTAGTACTTCTTAACATTTGATTTCTGTAGGATAGAAATATTCCTATTTTTTGCTCTTTGGAATGACCTTTTTCCCCATCATGGCATAACAGCCTGAGACTTTATACTTAGTGGTATACAACTTGCTTTTTCTTTCTTTTTTTTTTTTGTGAGGAAGATCAGCCCTGAGCTAACATCTGACGCCAATCCTCCTCTTTTTGCTGAGGAAGACTGGCCCTGGGCTAACATCCGTGCCCATCTTCCTCCACTTTATATGGGACGCCGCCACAGCATCGCTTGACAAGCGGTGCGTCGGTGCGCGCCTGGGATCCGAACCTGCAAACCCCGGGCCGCAGAAGTGGAGCGCGCGCACTTAACCACTGCGCCACTGGGCTGGCCCCAGGATAAATCTTAATTTACTGAAATGAAATACCCTTCACGATCTTCCACTCATTTGAGACCTGAAATTATTTTTATTTTTCATATGTCATAAGTTTTTTTTTATGTACAGAAAAATATACATTTAAAACTTATAAGTTACAATTAGTGGAAATAGTTTACTCTGTCTTAAAATAGTACCAGTACTCAGAGGTAACATAGAAAACTTCAATTATTGGGAAAAGACTAATAAATAATAGCCCTTATATTTATACAGTGCTTTAGGGTTTAGAGGCATTTTCCAGAGATGATTTTTTTTTATCATCACATCAGCCCTACAGAGTAAAAAGGACAAGTGGTATTATCTCTTATTTTACACAAAAAGAAAATGAGACCCAAAAAAGGTTTAATTACTTGCTCAAGGTCCTGTTTCCAGTGAGATACGAAACTAGACCTGGAACTCAGGCCTTCTCACTCCTAATGTAGTGTTTGCTACAATATTAGTAACTATTTGGATTTAATATAATTTTGATCTAATAAATGCCGATTTGTTTTGTGTTTATTTTCCAGAATCAAGTTCTTTTCTTTCTCAAAGATATTTTTGACTTCGAGAAGGTGCGCTATTCCAGCATAGAGACTCTGGCCGAAGACCTCACGCACTTACTTATTCGCCGCACTGAACTTCTAATGGCCTATCTCGGAGCTGACGCCCTGAGGCACACAAGCAGCTGTGTAAGTGGTCACGGCCACGTTGTGTCCGGTGGCCTACTGGAAGCCAAAGTACAATAAGTACCGTAAGCACCATGCAATGTGAGTGTGCTGTGAAATATTTTAAGGTAACTATTGATTTTGTAACATATATTACACAGAGTTGGTGGATATGGACTCAGGGAGGAAAAACAGTCTAGTAAAGAATGAGTACTGTACTTACACAGAAGTTCTGTCATCGACTCCCTGTGTAGCGCATCCAAAGCGGCTTTTTACAATCTTTAGGTAATAATTTAAGTTGTGAAATGTTGCATAGTTTGCGGAAATATTGCTTGAATTGAAGCCAGTACTTGGGAGTTAATTGATTTGTCGTCTAGAAGCTGTCTGAAATGTCCAGTATCATTCGCAAAAGCTGTTTTCACGCTTTGTACCTTGAAAACGTCCACTTTAGCCAAGACCTTTGTGGCCCACGCGTGCAAGAATATATTACTCCTAGTGTCAACCAACTTGGCTTTGCTTGAAAATGTATTTTTAATTGTCAAGTTATTCATTTGTTTAATCAAGTTTAGGCAGTAGTGGTGTTTAATATGTACTGCTTACATTATGGCTTGTGCATTTGCTTATGTATTTGAGTCAAATTGTAATGGCTCAGTATCATTATAGAACATTTAAATGAATTGACACTGAGAAGTTTTCAAGTTACAAGTTCATGTTAGATTTACTGCAGTTTCCAAAATATATTACTGTTGGTCCTATAAGTTACAAAGGACTGAAGAAATTTCTTGTCTCTTTTTATAGATCAGAGCACTTTTCCCTTGAATGAATATTGATTTAACTATGACAGCCAATTAAAATTTTTCCTGTGTAGTTTTGAGACTGTCTCCCAACATCTGAAGATATTAATCTTGGTACCATAAAATTATTTCTTCTTTCTCCTACAAAACTGGCTTCTAGTTATTCTCACAGAGAACTTAGCATACTGAGAATGTGTCACATTATGCCCGTATCTTTAAAATATTCATACTTTGACTTTTAGTGAGGTTTTAAAGAAGTTTTTCTTTTCCCCTGAATATAGAACATAATATTTTTAATGGTATAGAAGTATATTTCATGTCCTTTATGATAAATGTATGAACAAATGGGTTGTTCATATGAGTAAGGTTCTTCAGAATATATTAGCTACTTTCAGAGTTGTATTAGTTTTGTGTCTAAATCATATACCACTTATTTGGAGTGGCTGACTCAGTATACCAATGGATTGGATTTGTTGATTTTGCTCCTAAAGTGGGCTTTATTCATTTTAGGAATGAGTTACCCAGAAGAATCTAAAATATATTTTTTTAAAATGCATTTTTAGATTAAAGTGCCTAGTTTCTGATTAATGGATAGAAAATGAAAAGTGGGAATAAAAGCATAATCTTTTAAGGTTTTAAATTTATGTATGTGCCACATTTATGTACTATTGGCCACAAAGTATGAGATTCAGAATCTTTATGCTGTTTGCATGTACTGTGTTCCATAATGTGCATATTACAGCATTAAACAATATGAAATATTGCTCTAATATTTTTTGAGTATATAGCTCCTTGACTTTCCTTACATATATTCTTAATTTAACACTTGGGTATTCATAATTCTTATTACTGATTGAAGAGTATCATTAGAAGTATCAAAGCTAGGGCCAGCCCCGTGGCTTAGCGGTTAAGTGTGTGTGCTCCGCTGCTGGCGGCCCAGGTTCGGATCCCAGGCACGCACCGACGCATCGCCTCTCCGGCCACGCTGAGGCCTCGTCCCACATACAGCAACTAGAAAGATGTGCAGCTATGACATACAACGGTCTACTGGGGCTTTGGAGGAAAAAAATAAAATTAAAAATAAATAAATAAATAAAGTGAAGAAGTATCAAAGCTAAAAATTCCATTATGTAATGTTTTACTTTTTATTTATCTTGTATTTTTAGCTTCTTGTTGAGGCACCACTGGCCTCGTATCATTCACACACATAGGCGCACATATACATTCCCGTTATCGCGTAGGCAAGACAGTTACTGCCTATATTAATTTTTCTGTTTGGGGGTCTAAATGTTATAAGCTGTGGTTTTATAAACTAAGCTGTAAGTAAACTTAATTACTTTTTTATTTGAGGAAGATGTTTGAAATCTATTTTGAAGAATTGCACTATTTCATAATGCTGCTACTGCATAAGGTAACTCTGGGGAATTTATTTCATCATATAAGATGAATGGCTTTCCAGAAGGTGTTTTTTTTCTCTTTTACATTTTACCTTTAAAAAACTTGCCCATATTCAAGAGGTTGGTTTGTCAAATTTAGTGCTTGAGTTTGATTAGTTTCTGGTCAGTTCAGTAGCTACTAGTTGAGTAAGATGCTTTCTTTGTAGCCTTTGACGAAAGAGACAAGAGTGACCAAATAGAATTTCAGGGTAGTAAGAATAGAAAAAACCTCTCTATTGCAAGGTAAGAAACTTGACCTTTTATTTAAAAGAAACATCTCTTAAAAATGTTTCTGACCACAGAAGAGTATTAAGACATATGTACCAATTTCACTTTGTGTTGAAATTGGGTTAAACAGCTAAAGCAATGTTTTGAAAAATAAAAAATGATTAAACGAGTCTAGAGCCTTTTAGGATAGAACCCTATTTAACACCTACTCTTGGTAGTAGTATCAGAAAGTTGCCCTTGCCACCATGAGTCCTACCATCCACTTCCCTGTGTAAATTGTAAGAGGGCCTTGAATTAGTCCTGGGAAAATGGATTTTTTTTCTCCCAGTTTTCTGGAAGAAAAAAGATAAATGTTCAAGTGATTTACGTTTGGTAATTTTTTTTTTCTATTTTTGTTTCTCTACATTTTTGTTCAACTAAAAGTCTAGTTATTTCTTCTCAAAGGCTTACAATATGTTTATTAAGTGTCAGAATGAGATTATGTTTTTAAAAAGAGGCCAGGTTTTTCATACTGTTATAGTCAGCTCCAAAGAACTTTGTCTTTCTCATAAAGTAGTATTCTTTATTTGCATTCATTTAATATGATTCCATTAATTTGTTGAATTAATGACTTTATAAAAAATATTTGCAAACTTTTCTTGCCTTAAGATGTAACGTTTTCTACTTAAATGATTACCTAAGGGGTGATTATTTGCATTACAAAAGAATTCTTTAGTTTATCATTCCTTTAAACCTATGAAATAGGAATGCCAAAGTAACGTTCAATATACTTCTCTGTGACCATTCATAATCAGAAATGTAAAATTATGTTCATAACATAATTTGCTTTTATTATAATGTGGACACATATTAGGAAATTATTTGGAATATACATTTCAAAGGGATTATGAGAATTAGGCTGAATTCAAATCTTTTGTTTTTTTGCTTCGATTAATCAAATTTAGAATCTCTGTATGTGAGACTTAAGAATTTGTATAATCTGTGATTAATGGAAATAAGGACATCCTTTCTTTGTTCCTAATGATTATATTATGTTATTGTTTTGCTTCATTGGAGAACAACTATGTATTAGCTTTACTTGGCTGATATCAGTAAATGTGTCTATCTCCTAAATGTAAGGACTGCACTTATTAATTTACGTAAAAGTGAAACACTACAGTAGCAGAAAAAATAGCACTGGCTCTTTAGCCAAAATAAGCACTGTAACATGGATGTATTTCTACTACTGCCAAATAAAAAAGTGATGGTACAGCTTGCTGGTGTATTGAGTACTTGATGCAATGCTTGTATATATCTGGAAGGTCACACTTGTCTCATCAGCCCCTACCCTCTGAGAGCTTTCAGCCTCCAGAGGACCACATATGCAGGCGTAGAGAACACAGACAACTGCAGAAGTGGCGAAATCAAGTGTAAAAGTATTTGTTTTCTTTCTGTACTAACTGGGAGAAGAGACAGTTTTGTGATGAATCAAGTCGAAGTACTTGCATTTTAATTAATAATTTAAAGTTTTGATTAATAATGCTACCAAACAATATAAATATATCATATTGATGTTCATGCATCCATCCCTGTGCAGACACCCCCCCCCCCCTTCTTGGTCAGGGTTCAGATACAGTTAGTCAAGGGGAGCCATGCTGCCTGGACACCACTGTAGATACAAGGCAAGAAGGGTTTCCCTGGGTTTAAAGATTTTATTTATTCATTTTTTTCCCCCCAAAGCCCCAGTAGATAGTTGTATGTCATAGGTTCGCATCCTTCTAGTTGCTGTACGTGGGACTCGGCCTTGGGTTGGACGGAGAAGTGGTGCCTTGGGGCGTGCCCAGGATCCGAACCCGGGCCGCCAGCATCAGAGCGCACGCACTTAACCGCTAAGCCACAGAGCTGGCCCAGGGTTTCCCTGGGTTTAAAGACAGTATTTTTGATTTGGGACTTTTAATAAAGAGGTTTATTTTAGAATAATTAAATATGTACAGTATAGATAAATATATAGTTGTACTTTTTAAACTATTAAACATAAGTACCTTACTTAATAAGCAAACCACATAAACGGAGTTGAAGCTCTTCCTAGCTAGGGTATAGGGTTGGAGATGCAATGGGAAACTAGATCAGCATCTCAGTCTCACCTTCTGGTTCTCTGTCATCTGCCATCCTCTGTGATCTCGCTACCTGAACTGAATGTTTTGCACTTTAAACATCTCTCTCTGCATTTTTATGTATGTTTAAAATACTTCTCTACAAGCATCTCAGTGTCCTGTTGTTACACTATTTGTAGGCTTTGCTGGAAATCTTTATCAGCTCACTTGGTTAATCCACCATCTGTCTTCTGTTCTTACGCCGCTTTTGACTTCTATTTTTTATGTGGTATTTCTTCCTCTATCCTGTATTCTGTCCATACTTTACCTGCCACTTCTCCTCTAATCTCTTTCTGTCCTTATGCTACTGACATCTTTGATCAGGCTGAGGTTGTTTTTTTTGTTTTTTTCCTACATCTGAACAGTGAAAAGTAACCTTCATCGTTTGTGCAGGGAAGGACTGAATTCCAGTACAGAAAAAAAGGAAACCTTCCTTCTATGACACTTTTTATTCTTTACTTAAAAGCCACAGCAAAGAAACTGGTACATCAAATACCACCTCAACGTTTGCTTTGAACTGTTTCTTATGTTTCACAAAAGGCTTTCACAAAGTACATTTATATATAGGAATTCCAGAACTTTTATAATTTGCTGTTTGAAATAATACCATAATATTGAATATAGAGAAGCACTTTGACATTTGAAAGCACTTGAAGTTCTGACTTCCAGAACTGTGCTAATTCTTTTATTTAATAACACTCTGTGAGAGAATAGGCCCAAGGACTTTAAAAAAGACTGGGTTCTTCCTGTGGTAGAAGATGGATAATAAAAAAAAAGCAGGTGTGGCCGGCCCCGTGGCTTGGTGGTTAAGTGCGCGCGCTCCGATGCTGGTGGCCCGGGTTCGGATCCCGGGCGCGCACCGAGGCACCACTTCTCCATCCATCCTGAGGCCGAGTCCCACATACAGCAACTAGAAGGATGTGCAGCTATGACATACAACTATCTACTGGGGCTTTGGGGGGAAAAAATAAATAAAATCTTAAAAAAAAAAAAAAGCAGGTGTATTCGTTCTTTACTGCTGCATAACAAATTATCCCCAAATTTAGTAGCTTGAAACAACAAACACTCTCTCACACAGTTTCTGAGGGTTGAGAATCAAGGAAGGCTGGTTCTAGTGGTTCTGGCCTAGGGTCTCTCCTGGGATTGCAGTCATCTGAAGGTTTGACTAGAGGGGCAAGATTTGCTTCTAAGATTTGCTCCCTCCCATGGCTTGCTGTCAGGGGGCTTCAGGTCCTTGCCACGTAGGTCTCTTAACAGAGCTGCCTGAGTATCTTTAAAACATGGCAACTGGCGTCCCCCAGAGTGAGTAATCCAAGAGAAATCAAGACAAAAGACACAGTATCTTTTATAACCTAGACTTGGAAGTGACTTACCATCACTTGCACCATATTCTCTTGGTCACACAGACCAACCCTGACGCGATATGGGAGGAAATTGCAGAAGGGTGTAAATACTAGGAGGCGGGATCATTTGGGGTCATCTTGGTGGATGGATACCACAGCAGGGAATCATAATAAACTATACATTGGGCCGGCCCTGTGGCCTAGTGATTAAGTTTGGCACACTCTGCTTGGGTGGCCCGGGTTTGGTTCCCGGGCATGGACCTACACCACTCATTAGTGGCCATGCTGTAGTGGCAACCCACATACAAAATAGAGGAAGACTGGCACAGATGTTAGCTCCTGGCAAATCTTCTCCAGCAAAAAAAAAAAAAAAAAAACATAGATCATGTAGACATTTTAATTTTAAATGAAGAAGTGCACATTCTTTGGCCAATCTTTTGATGTAGGGTCAAGGCCTTTTCTTTTTCTTTCTTTCTTTCTTTTTTTTGTGAGGAAGATCGGCCCTGAGCTAACATCTGTTGCCAATCTTTCTCTTTTTGCTTGAAGATTGTCCCTGAGCTAAGATCTGTGCTACTCTTCCTCTACTTTGTATATGGGATGCCGCCACAGCATGGCTTAATGAGTGGTGTGTAGATCTGCACCTGAAATCCAAACCTGTGAACCCCAGGCCGCCAAAGCAGAGCACGCAAACAACCGCTATGCCAGCCTCTCAACGCCTTTTCTTGGAGTATGGATCCACTCGGTATTCCAAATATCTTTGTTGCATAAATTAAACCTCTAAATCATCATCTTGGATTTGCAATTTCCTTTAAAAGAAAAAAATTTACATGGAAAGCAATGAGTGCTGAATCTCTCTAGATTTTTATAATTTTGAACCCAATCTTTTATGTTTGTCTTCCCCACACCTAGCTTTATGGTAATTTTGTGAGCTATTTGCCTTTTATCGAGTCTTCAAAGCATTCAATTTAGCTTTTATAAAAACTATAATGCTTTTTTTTTGCTTTTATGTTTCTTCCTTTTTGTAATGTTTATGTAATTTCAATAACATGCAACCGATATAATCAAGTTTGAGAACAAACCCAACTGATTGATGATAATTATACAAGTAATGTTTATACAAATGGGCAAATCTTGCATATCTGACCGTCTTCCCAAACTTAGCATGACCAAAACCAAGCTCCTGACCACAGCTGCCCGAACCGCTGCCTCCTCGTCTTTCTCATCCCAGTAAATGACAGCTCCGTTCTTCCAGTTCCTCAGGCCGAAAACTTCTTTTCCTCACACTTCGCATTGCATCTGTTACCAAAATCCTACCCGTTCTACTTAGAAAAACGTACCAAGAAAAAAAAAATGTGCCAAGCATTCCTCACCACCTTCTCAGCTCTCGCCTTGGTCCAGACGCCTTACCGGCCATCCTGATTATTTTGGAAGCCTCCTAATTGGTCTCCCTGCTTCATTTAGTATATTTGCAGCACATCAGCCAGAATGAACATGTTAAGAGTATGGCAGACTATGTCACTACTTTGTTCAAAATCCACCAATGTCCACCCTTCCAACTCAGACTAAAAGCCAAAGTCCTTACAGTGTTGTACAAAAACAGTCCTCCACTGTCTGTCTCCTGCCCCACTCCATGTCCTATCATTCCACCTGTGCCTACTCAGCTGCACCCACACAAGCCTCCCTGCTCTTCTAGAACATGGCAGATAGGACCCTTCTTGGGCATCTGTGCCTCTCCCTGGACCACTCTTCCCCCAGATATCTCCAGATAGTTACACGACTCGTGTTTACCTGCATCTCCAGGTATTTACTAGCTCACTGCCTCAGTTGCCTCAGGACTTTTGCTCATGTGAGTCTTTCCCTAGCCACTCCATCCAAAAGTACAACATCCACCCACCCCACTCCCAGCATTCCTGCTTCCCTGCTCTGATTTTATCCATATTGCACATCACTAAGTACTACACAGTTGACTTGCTTATTGTCTGCCCTCTTCCACTAGAATGTATGTTCCATGATGGCAGGGCTGTGTATTTGTTTTGTCACTGCTGTATCCTCTGCATCTAGAACTGAATATTTGTTGAACAAATGATGAATGAATGTTGAATCGGTGGGAGAAGAAGTAGGCCTTTCATGCTGTGGGTAGCTAGCAGAGTTTTACAGGAAGAATGGAGAGCTTTGTTTAATCTGGTGAATCCATTGAGTGGGTATCAGCTAAGAGAGCTTCTACTCACTTCTTTAAATCGTAAAAATAAAGGTATAATTGATAAGTGTGGGGAGGAAAAGGGTGGAATAGAGGAGACTGATATATATTGGGGTAAAAGGAAGACTTCTCTGAGAAAGCAACATTTAAGCAGACAGCAAAAGCATATGTTGAAGTGAGGCAGGTAAAGAGTCGGGGAAAGGATTTCATGCAGAGTGAACAGCTTGTGCAAAGACCCTGCAGCCAGAATGACCATGGAAAGTTCCATGAACTGAAGAAGGTCAAGGGGATAGTAGTGAAGGAAGTAAGGGGCGAGCTAGATCATCCAGGCCACCTATCACTATCTATAATAGAGTAAGTTTAAATAGCTGTTTTAATTACCAATCTAGAACTTTTCTCTAATTGAGGAATGAATGGCTTACACTTTTTTTTTGGCTGGGAAAGATTCACTCCAGGTTAATATCTGTTGCCAATCTTCCTCTCATTTTTTTTTTTTTCTCTCCAAAACATAGTTGTATATTCTAGTTGTAAGTCCTTCTAGTTCTTCTGTGTGAGCCACTGCCACAGCATGGCAACTGACAGACGAGTGGTGTGGTTCCCAACCCAGGTGTGGCACCCCGGGCCGCTGAAGCGGAGCACACCAAACTTGAACCTCTAGGCCTTCTGGGCTGGCTCAGCTGACACCTCTTAAAAGAATTTCCATCCTGAGTAAATGGTGTATGGGTGTGGGGTGGAGAAGAAAAGTTATAGTTAAGAGCAGGCAGCCTTTTCAACATCCCTGAAAATATAACCTGAGCACCACTGTCTGTCCAGGGCTGGAAGTTGGAAATGGTTGTCCCTGGTGTATCTGCGTAGATGCTAGTTCAATTTTTAATTACTTAATTTTCATTTTATGCATGCAGTGAAGAATTGAAGATCTTCCCCACCAGACAAATACCCCCTCTGGATGAGCATTTCAGGTTTTAACATGGGTTGTCTGATTGGTTCAGTTGACAGGCTGGTGGTCCAGGTTGAAAAGGTTGTGGGCCCTAATCTTTGCAGATGCCTTTATGTAGGTTTAGGAAGACCAGAGATGATTGGCCTTCAGTTAAGGGAAGGTGGAAGATGATATAAATACGTTCTTCTATTCCTCCTCCTCCTCCCTTCCTTCTTCCACTTTTCTCTATCAACCACTCTTTGGAGTTAAAAACGAGAGCCAAGAAAAGGAGAGCAACAGACAGATGAAGTGGTCCCTGACTGCTGCCCTCTGCTCTCAGCCATAAAAGAAAACTTGGCCCAAGGTCAATGCTTTGGGTGAAGATAAGGTAGTGGCTTGGCCTCTTGGTTAGAGACCAGGACTGGGAGAATAGCTGAGAAATGGGCCCCACGGGAAACCGGCTATGGGTCGCCGGGAGCCAGCTCCAGCCTGTTTCTGAATCCCACTCCAGTATCACTCCCTTCCCACAGGGGAGGCAGCCTCCCTTCCCTGGACCCTGCTGGGAGGGGGAGGCAGACCTCAGGGGAGGCCGTCAGCGACCCAGAGCCGGGCAACAGGCAGGTCCTGGCGGAAAGTTGGCAGCCACCGGTCCCTTCGCCCGCCTTCCTCCTCCACTCTCCACCCCTCCCGGGCGATACGGCGGAGGTGGGGGGTTGGGGGAACTGGCCTTGTGTTTTGGAACAGCTGCAGCCGGCGCTGGGCCCGCCTGGAATGCGGGAACAGGCTGCGCACCAGGACTTTTATGGAAACTTGCTGTTGGAGGCGGCGGCGGCGGCGGCGGCAGCCAGAGGGCTCCCAGCGGCTGGAGCGGCGGCCGGAGCGCGCAGACCCCTGCCCACACCCAGGCGCAGGACGCGCACAGCCTCGCCGCGCGCAACCGGGACAGTCGCTTGTCGCTCCTGGCGGGTGAGAGGAGTCGGGGGAACGCGGGGCGGGGGCGGCGGCGGAGGGGTCGGGTCCCTCGCGGGGCGGGGGCGGGGGCTGCAGGGAGACGCTCCCGGCGCCCCGGCTCCTGGCCCGGCTCTGCCGCAGCCCCGGAGCGCGCCAGGCTCCATCCAGCGGTGGCTGCGCGCTGGTCCCGGCCCGAGCGGACCGGCCCTCGGAGCCCGTCCTGCGGGTCGGCGGAGCGCGGAGCGGGGTCTGCCTCGCTGTCTCTCCCAGTAACCGGCCTCCGGCTTCTGGCTGGATTTCCTCGCCCCTGATTCTGCTCCGCTTGCGCCCTGTCTGTTGAGTTTCGGGTGCTTTCTCTACTCCTGCGGGGAAGGAGCCCTCCGTGAGTGGAGTGGGCGCCAGGCCTTTTGCTCTACCCTTGGGATCCAGGTAAAGTTCAGGGTCGTCTCCACCACGTGCCCCGGCATGGTCTCCGTCTCCGCCAGGCTGCGTGTTATTTTTAAGAGAAATCATTCTTGATCTGTCCCTGTGGAGGCTGGTAGTGAAATGTGATTTAACAGCCTATCATCTACCCCCTGCCTCCAAACTATTTTTTCGCGATTCTGTCCGAGGTGGGATGTTGGGGGTTGTGCAACTAGAGCTGGAAGTTGGAGTGAATAATGTAGTCACCTCTTGAGACCTCCCTTGTCTATATTTTTGAAAACGCCAAGCCATTCCAGCTGTTTGTAAACCGTGAAACGGTCTACAAATGCTAAAAATTTATTATTGGCATTTGTAAAGAAAATAACCAAGTTGAGAGGTTAGTTGATTGTTGCAATGGCTTCGAGATCTTCATTTTATATATATTTAAGGTCCATAACATGAACAAAGAGAGTTGGAAGAGGGTGGGGGTAGGGGGGAGGGGGAGAGGCGAATAAGGTAAAAATAGCATAAGGATATGTCCTAGCAAAATGTCTGTCCTTGGGAAAGAGGCAGGTACGGAAAAGAAGTAGCCATAATAAGAAAGAAATTAATTCCATGAGCAAAGCAATGGGAGCATCATTCATCAGCTAAATTTTGTTAATGAATTCATGTAACAAGCCCATTGGCCTGCGAGTCACAACATAACTATGTGTTGGGTAGTAGGATTAAATAAACTTAAGTATTTACCATCTTAGTCATACCTCATTGAGTGAACCACATTATTTTCCTCCCAATCCTTTTACAGGTTAAATTGCTGCCATAAGAAAACTCAGAATACACGTAAGTCTGTGAAATTCTTTTGAGTTTTGAGCTATGGTAAGGTGGAAAAATGCATAATTAATCAAATTGAGGGACAGGGTTTTTGGGGAGGTCTATTTAGTATAAATGAACTTTGATTATTTAATGTAGTTAGTTAAGATTCTTCTTCATAGCTATTAGCCCCCTATTTTTGAAGATGTTTGTATTTTGACTGGAATAATTTAAAGAAAAATGTGAGGGATTCCATATTTTGTAGACAGCAACTCCCATAAAGAGCCCTGAGCAAAAACCATAACAAAATTCTTTTAAATCCGGTTTCCCTCAATACGGTATTGATGTAATTCAGTTTTAATAGAGGATTCACACTTTCAAATCCATTTTTAAGCTGAAATGTAGTGAATAGCAGTTTTTCCTGCTCACTTTAATTTGGAATCTGTGCTATTTTTGAAAATTTGATATGTAAGACTAGTCATTGTCAAAATGTATGTCATCCTGAGATGACTATATTTGGCATCAACAAAGGAAGGCATTATCTAGGTTTTTGAACAGTATTTTTCCCCTGAAATTACACTTGAAGTATTTAGGTTAGGGTTTCAGTTGTGAACAGAATGAAAACTGAATATGTGTATTTGGAAGAGATTAATTGGGGATTTAGATTGCTTAGAACCGACTGGCCTGAAATGACATACTTCATTTAGGAAAAAAAATAAAACCTACTATCTTCGAAATACCCTAAAGGCAAATAAAAGTACTGTTTAAATAAAAACACATGCCTAAAAGGAAGAAAACAATGCAGTAAATGTCGAAAAGTGTATAACAGATGGGCAGATGTCTCAAAGTTTTTACGGAAGAGAGGACTCGGAACATTTTATAGTATGTAGGCCATTCGAATGCACACAGAAAACATCTTGGTCATCTACTTTATAATTTAGAGGGAAAATGACCCACAACATTCTTAACAATTTCACATATTTCTATTCTCATTTAATTAATCTGTGGTCAACATCACCTGTGTAGTTTCTTTCATGTTCTCTTTTTTCTGGTTTTATAATTGCAAAATTACGTATTATTTACATACACTTGGAATTGTTATATTTTCTTTTTCTATTTAAATATTCAGTGCATAGTTTGGCTTGACTTATGCTAGTATACTTTCTACCCTCTAGGATGGGTGGATTTTTACCCAGAAATCCAACTTATTTAACTCTTAGAGGGCCGGCTCCGTGGCTTGGCGGTTAAGTGCGCGCGCTCTGATGCTGGCGGCCCGGGTTCGGATCCCGGGGACGCCCCGAGGCACCACTTCTCCGTCCAACGTGAGGCCGAGTCCCGCGTACAGCAACTAGAAGGATGTGAACCTATGACATACAGCTATCTACTGGGGCTTTGGGGGGAAAAAACTGAATAAATAAAAAATCTTTAACTCTTAGTCAATTTGTTTTTTTTCTTTTTTGGGGGGGAGGAAGATCAGCCCTGAGCTAACATCCATGCCAATCCTCCTCTTTTTGCTGA